GACCGCGTAGTAGAGGTCCCCGTAGCGATTTGCTTTAAGTCTCTAATAGGGACCTTAAGATCCGACGACGACGACGGCAACGAGGACGTCAAAAAAGCAATAAGTTTATAACCAAAACAACAATTTTGCACTTGCATCACGCTCTTTTGTACATTTCTTTGTCGTCACTACACGACTACGACGTTAAAATGCCTAATCTCATGTTTTACAGAGGAAGTACACAACTGACGACGAAATTTCCTCTCTTTTTCTGAACTTGGTTATGGTTCTCAGAAATTCAACTTTGGGAGAGTTCACCTACATTTGACAAAGTTAGTGACTTGGAGTAATCGCCATGAAGATTGAAAGAACGCGAATTCAATTTTTCGGAGACGTTTTCGCTGCCGTCGCCTTCCTTGGATCTTAAAGTCCCTTTCAGACTTTGCAACGGCGGGCCTGGGTTCAATTCTGTTGGCCCCGTGTCCAGAAATTTACTGATTTGACGCTTGTCGGACGTATTGACGAATCAACGGCGCGCCGTCTTTCTCTCCCGATCCATGAGCGAGAGGGCGGAGACAGCTGATATTTCAGATTGCGCCGCTGTTGGAAAAGAGTGGTTAGTGGGCGTAAACCCGATGGCGGGGTCATTTTTATGGGCTGGCTCACGGATAAAAGGGGTTGATATCAACTGACAAGCAGGTCCTCTTTCATCTCCTGACACCGTGTTGATCCATCGTGGAGGATTTGAATAAAAATAGAATCCACGAGAACAAAAAGAAAAACAAACAAAGAAAAGTCACCACAAAGTTATCCTTGAGCTAACTTACGCTTTTAATGGTTTAAAATATACTACAGGTTAATTGTCCACTTCACAAACTCAAGGGAGAATGGGTGCTAGTTTCAGGTGCAGTGATTTCTGGTTGGTTTGGGTGGAAAAGTATTAGTTATGATATGCCTATTCGGATAACTCAGTGTTGTACCCAATTCAAATCTTCCGGGGTTAAGATTCTTTGTGTATTGTATTTGCATTATAATGTGGCATTTACATTTTAATGACATGGAAATTCCTGGAACACGACGTTTTATTCTAAAAGGGTTTGAATTGGGTACAACATTGAGTTAGCCCGGCGAATAGGTCTATTGGTCGGTGATATTCAAGGCAACTATCCAATCACAAGTGACGCTTATCCACCCAAATGCTCCCAGAAATCGTTGCGCCAAAAACTTCTACACATTTCCCTTATAGTTTCTGGAATTGGGAATTGCAAAAGAAGATATTATAGTAGGCTTATGAAGTCAGCGTGGCAAGAACTGACCCCACCCTTGAGGGGATAAGTTTTCCATTAGAGGAGTCTGTAGAGGTTTGTTCGTGTTTGTACAAGGCCACGCTCATCAAATAAAGTTCATTGTCGACTGGGGCAGAGGGCGGAGTCTGGAAAACGCCGACCTAAAAATCAAACAAATATCATGTAAGACAAGTTGTATTTATAGTTTAAAGAATACAGTTTACTTATACTTACCGACAAAATAATTCAAAAGGTAAAAGAGAGCAGTATATATAAACTTCTGGCTACACAGAAACAAAAACTAAAAACTCAAACTAAAAAAGAATAATTTTAAATCCTAAATAAATGAAGCCGGCATACTTCTCGCGCAAAAAAAATTAACATTAAAAATGAGAAACAAATTAAAATGACTAGGCAAAAATGTTCAAGTCTTCTATTTTCGCTCATTGGACTATTATTCATGACAGCACGCTAATTAATAAAAATGGTCGACTTCCGCGTTTTAAGTTATAACGTACCTTTCCAGTTAACCTTCGCAAACGCTTTCTCATAGCCAGATCCTTGCGGGCGCATAGAGCCCGTCTACACGGTCCAACGTCAGAAAACAATAACTGTCTTTCCCGCCTTTTTGCAGCAGCACCTGCCATTAGCGCGCCAATACTATTGCTAGCTGGAGACCCCCTCACGCCCTCGACGTCAGTAGGCTCGACTGTCTCTGCCCCAGTGGGGTTTTCGTTCGCTGCCTTTGCGCATGCTTCCTGTACTAGTTTGGTTAGCCGCGGACCGGCAAGCGAGGAAGAGATTCCAATACGGGAGAACACGCTACCAGGAGTGAAACGCTTTAAGTGAGATCCAGGTTCGACTCCTACAAACCAGAGACAACAGAAAAACTATATAGTACCAAAACGTGTGATGTACTGTATTGATACATAGTAATGTGTCTACCAGGATCCCATGACCCAAAGCGTGCAACTTTAATACTAAGCCAATGTTACAAGAAGGTTTATTTTTATATACACTTTAGGGCACCTTTCCCCCGAAAATGGAAGGTACACTCCCTCTAACAGCGTATTTGAAGTAGAGAATATAAAAAAGGAAATTAAAACTAAATGTGTAGTTTTGCTGACTGGATTGTGGGACTTGAAAGATGTTCCAAATTCGCGCCAAAATCGTTCTAAAACTATACTGGTCGGTGAAAATTTCATGACACGAGTACATGGAAGTTGCTCGCTCCAGGTTGTGGACTGCTGGTATATATGTATTTCTCAAACAAAGCCAGCCCGTGGACTGAATCATGTGTCAGCTGAAACGTAAAGTTGGGAATGAAAATGAACATGAAATGAACTTATGAAACAAATTGCTGTTTACATTCTTCGATCTCGAATCATATTCAGAAGAACTAGACAACAATACGCACGACACAAAAAGATGGTAAATTTTCATACCTGTTTTCTCCGTTGAGCCTTGGGTGGTGACCAAAGCACTCCAATCCACGTCTTCTACCGCCATAGGGGCACTAGCATGACCTGTAGCGTCAGAAATCCCAACACCACCCTCCTCATCTTCGTCTCCTAACATCGCATCAAGTTCATCGTCGCTTATCGGATCGTAAACATCGTCATAGGCAGGCACCGAATTTTCCACAGGAGAACCAACCTTTGCGGGTTCATCCTTGCTGGCTTTCGGCTTGTTGTCGGCGATTTCCGCCGGCTCGTTTATATCCGACCAAGTGTCGTCCCCGATAGGGCTGTCGTCGCTCCAATCACTGAAAACCGCCACTTGCTCTTCGACTTTGGAAGAATCCTGTTTGCCGCCTGTATTTTCGCCAGTCAATTTTTCGCCATCATTTTCTCTATCCTTTTGCATCGGGGCAGCTTTATCACTCACTTGATCACTGCTCTCCAACTTGCCTGAGCTCGAGTCCTCGTCTTCACCTTCAAGATCTGCCCACGGTTGAAAGACTACTTCGGGCTGATGTTTTTTCTTTTTCTTTTTCTTGGGCGGTTTATCGCTTCCTTTTCCTTTGGTTTCATCTCCTTCAGGAGCATCTCCATGCCTGCGTTTCTTTGCCAACTTAGTAATGGTCTCTCCCTCTGACGGCGGAATCGCCTCTCCGATCTTTTCCGATGGAACGGCCCCGCCTTCCTCCGGGGCGTTCTTCGGTTCATCAGGTAATTCCGAAACTACATCGGTTTCCTCAGCTGATGTTGTAGAGCTTTTCTTTTTCTTTTTTGTCGCCTTCTCCTTGGTTTTTACCTTATCTTTCTTGTGTTTTTTCTCGCTTTTAGGCTGCCTCTCACTTTCAATCTGAGCTTCGGTTTCCGGTACCGTTTCTTGGGTCATGTGACTTTCAACACTTCCTTCACCTTCGGATTTCACGACCTTCCCTTCCTTTTTACCAGCCTTCTTCTTTTTTATTTTGGTAACTGCTTTGATAGGTGTCCCTGTTTCTGGCTTAGTTTGTTTGGTTGGTGTTTCTGTGGTGGGTTGGGCTTCGCCACCCTTGTCTCCTACTTCAGCTGCTTCCGGAACCGCTGTCTCTTCTGTCTCCGGCGTTTCACTTCGTCGTCGTTTCCCTGCTAATGGCGACTCCGTTGTAGACACAGACGACGTATTTTCTCTGGGTCGTTTTCTGTGATTAAAAAGCACATTGTCAACATAATTAACGTATTAAGAAGATATCCGTAAAGAAGCTCCCCCAAGTCATTTTTTGTCTCGTCACGCAACGATTTCCCCGTCACGAGACAAAAACGGCTGCGAGGGAGACTACCCCTTTACTGGTTCGACTGAACTGTGGGCTCTATAATACAGCGTGACAATCTAAAAGACTTCTAGCACTCGTTACGTTACCAGAAAATGCCTGCATTGCATCACAGCATGTTAGACTGGGGGATGACTCTTTCATTACAACACCTTGCCCTAGCGGAATAAATTACTGGCCCCATTTGTTCAAAAGTTGGATAGCGTTATCCACCGGATAAATCACTATCCAACGGGATAGAGCGATTTTCGTATGACCTTGAAAAATGGTTTCGGTAAGTGTTTCTTATTTGTTTCATCAGCCAATGGATGAATAGGTCAAAACATGGCCTCTTCGTTTTCCCGCCAAAGAAAACCCTAACGTGAAAAGGCATTGTTCGATTGGCCAGTCACGTCGCAGTATGACGTCAAAGCGAAGCATCGGTTGATTTCTAGAAAGTTCTGGGGCGTGAAGTTTTTTCACCCGAGCGTTCGCTTAACCAACCAAAAGCCGCGTGCGTTTGTATCTGTTCGATAAACCAATCAAATCGCTCTATTTCCGTTCGTTTGTTGTTCCTGTTTTGTTAGCGCGTTTTCATTTCGAGGTCATACGAAAATCGCTCTAAGTATTAGGGAAACCAATTGCGCTATCATGTGGATAGTGATTTATCTGGTGGATAGCGTTATCCATCCTTTGAACAACTGGGGCCAGGGGCCCGTTTCTCGAAAGGCCCGGTAACTTTTCGGGTCCGAAGGCAAATTTTGAAATCAAAAGTTTCTATCTCACAAGCCGGCCAATTTTGCTTCGTTAACTGATAGTTTCATCATAGCATTTTCAAAATTATTAAAACTTTGATATTGAATGCAAACATGCAAACAAAAACAGGTTTTCGGGCCCGAAAAGTTATCGGGAGTTTCGAGAAACGGGCCCCTGGTCTGTTGTTCCCCTTTAAAGTTGTTTCACTGCAGGTAGCCTTTTTCTAACGGGTACTTTATACGAAAAGGTACTATGTAATAGGGTAAGGTGAGTCGCGCCAACGGAACGCAAGGGTAATACAAGGGGAGGTGGCTTAGTGAGTTGTCAGCCGTGATACTGTACTTCACGTACCTTTCTCCCTGTTTTGGTATTCTATCTTTGTCATCTCCAATATCTTCTTCATATTCCCACTCGTCCTCTTCATTCTCTGATCTACGTCTGCGATCTTCCTCCACTTCACGCGGTATTTTCTCTTGCTCATGCGCTCGCCGGTCACGTGGGGGGCTACTACCACGTCCTGGGCTTCCTACGAAATTGGCGAGTAAAAATTAAGTCATAAGTAGGTCTAGGACATTTTCGCTAAAACCCGTGGTAGAATGAGGCCGACTATGGAGTTTTCCCGCCAAACTGACGCTCGTTAACGCGTGCGCACTAGTTAGTGTTGAGAAAATCTTGTTCCCGTAGTCGCCGTGGTCTTAAGGTCGGTACACACTAGGCGACAAGTTGCAGCAACAAGTCGCGGTGACCAGATAACTCCATGTGTACAGGACCGGCGACTTGTTGCAGCAACACGTTGCGGCGACACGTCGCAGCGACAAATCACTTCGTGTGTACTGGAGAATTTTTGTGAAAATCTTTGTCTCCGCAAATGAATTTTGTCTCTGCAACAAGTCGCAAAAAATCACATCAGACTGAATTTGTGCGACTTGTTGAGGCGACAAATTCTGTTGCAGCGACAAAGATTTTCACAAAAATTCTCCCCGACCACGAAGCCACTTGTCGCTGCAACGTGTCGTCGCGACATGTTGCTGCAACTTGTCGCCTGGTGTGTACCAACCTTTAGAATTTAAGACACTCTTCTGATTCTCCCTTTAACACCTCTTAGTAAACTAAAAAAAGGCATTTTATTTGAGTGTCAATGTATTTTGCACGAAAGTGCTAATTGGGGAGACTATTTTTACGTCTCCTAATGGAGACGAGACCACCATTTTACGTGGTCATCCGAGCCACGCGTAGGTCCCGCCGCTTGCAGTGCAAAGGGAGTACCTTCATTTCTCAGTTATTTTAAGACTCTGAGTATTGGTCCGGCCCCGTGAATCGAACCCACGACCTCCCACTCTGCAGTCAAGCGCTCTACCGACTGAGCTAGTCCCGCCGCGCAGTGTTCTTGAATCAGATTTGTAAATAAGAGAAGACAATTTAAACATCTTAAATTGTTCATAACCTAGCCTGTTAAAAACCTACCGCCTCTCTTATCCTCCCAGTGTCTCGGTCCACGACCTGGAGAAAGCTCACTTCTCGGACGTCTTTCTCTATCACGTGATTCATCATGTGGTCGTCCCCGGTCACGTAGATGCTCTCTTTCACGGCGACGTTCAGGATCCCAAGGTGCTCGGCTGTCGCGAGGAGGTTCTTGGAACCTGTCCCCTGGCGGACGCATTCTGTCGGGGAAACCTCGGCCCGCTGTTCAAACAAATCACTTACTTTATTAAAGCGAACAAACAAATCGAAGTTCAAACGAAAAAAAAAACTTGCATTGTTACCTTAAACACGAGGAATGATAAACAAACTATATACTGCGTTTATCTCTGCGTTTATCTCTGCCTTTTAGCGACAAAGTATCTCACAGACATACCTGCATGCTAAGTAATATGCGAGAAATTTTACAGGCTAACACTACATTAACCTGTTTACTGTCCCCTATTTTTTCGTTAGTTCGTCGAGATCGAGCGCTTTGCGTTACGGGTGGCCATCTTGGTTTTAAATGTTCCGCATTTAGCCTAGAGATGTGTGTCAAACCTACTTAAGGGGCGGAGGAGGGTTTGGGGAGAGGCCTTCCTCCCCCCACCGCTATAAACCCCAACGCCCACCCCCTCGGTACAAACAAACCTAACATGGCCGCCTGACGATCTTAAGCAAAAATAGGGGACTGTTAACAGTCTTTACACTACGTTAAACAGCAGAAACCTTAATCGCTTAGGACGACCAAAGCACCAGATGAAAGTTACTTTTTAAACTGTAACAAAAACATTTAGGTCTTTTTTGTTTTAAAGCACCTTGACGTTCCCAAACTTGTATTTCTTAGTGTCTTTACTATTATAGAGACGATTCGTCCAAAAACTGGGGCAAAATCACCATCAAAAAATGAAATAAAAGACCACTTCCGCTTGATGTGCGTCTTGTAACAGCACATTGACCCGGCCACACTTACCTCTGACTCCCCTCCCACGGGGAGCTCCTCTGCCTCTATCCGCATACTGTCTAGGTGGGGGTGAATTTCGCCTTCGTCCGTCGTCCATTGGTCTACCACGGCTATCAAAAGGCGCTGAATATCCACCTCTTCCACGCATTGACTCTCGTCCAATACCATAACCACCCTGATCTCTGGGAGGTCCCGGTCGGTAACCTTCATCTCTGCGACCGCCTGGGGATAAACTTCGCCGGCGCTCCATGTAACGATGCGGACCCCGTGGGGGACCGTGTGGCGGGGGAGATCGTCGCGGGCCATGGGAGATGGGGGAAGTGCGTCTGTGATAGTCAGGTCCGGGAGGAGGATGACGACCATCTCTGTCACGTGGTCTCTCGCCAGGTCTTTCACGGGCGCGACTGAAAGATAAAGATTCGAAATAAGTATATTAGGGAAGAGCTCTATATGGAACGTGCAAAATCTACGTCGCTTTAAAGAGTCCATCCTTAGAGTTTTTAAAGACAGAATCATTGTCATTCTACAAAACAAGGTGCCATGTAGCCTGAGTGAAGATGACATACATACATGCACTGTTTACAAGTAGCCATTACGACACCTAAAGGAGAATCATGATGTTATCCCTATATAAAGATGACCCACCCAGCCCAGGAAAGGTTGGCCAAACCACAGGACTCTACGTCCCCTACTCTTTTCGAACAGTGGTGTGGGCCTTCAAATAAAGCGACCACCGATTTCCGAAAAACCTACTGGGGACTGTCACTCTTAACTTACTTGTCAGGCATATCCTGCCGCGGGATGTCATTTCGCCGTCTATCCCGATCAATAAACTGTCCTTCTTTAGAATCTCTCTCCCCACGTCCTTCCCAGTGCCTGTCATCGCCTTCAAACTGACGCCTGGGAATATCCCGACCACGAGGCCTTTGAAGTTCATCTTCGTACTCGTCACGACCTCTGCCTCGTTGATGCTCATCACCGCGTTCATCTCTTCGTCGATGGCGCTCGTCGTCTTTTTCCAGCTCACGATTCCGTCCGCGAAAATGGCCTTCATCTCGTTCTTCCCTTCTACGAAGATACTCGTCATCTCCCTCGGGTTTTCGTCGCTGGAACTCATCACCCCTTGGATCGTCGACCCGATTTCGGTGGTGATCATCGCTTCGTTCTGGTTCAGTTTCCCGAGTTCGATGAAAATCGTCAGCTCGGTCGTCCCGCGGGCGCCCGCGTTGATGGAAGTCTTCTTGGCGGTCATCACGATGTCGTAAACGACCTGGCTCTTCATCCTGACCTCGACTTCTGGGGAAGTCTTCCTCTGTCGGAGGATGTCCTCGACCACCTCGAGACAACTCATCAGCTGCCTCTTCACCCCTCGCCCTTGAGTACCTTGTGTCACGGTCAGCTCGATCTTTAGGCCTCGGCAAATCTTCGCGATAAGGCACAGCCTCGGGCCGTCCCTCGTAAATCTCTTCACGTTTTTTGTCAAATCTTGCCCGCACCGGGGGAGTGGAAGGATGAGGTGGCGTTTGGGGTCCCCGTCGCCTGGGTGGGGCTCGCTCACTCGTCAAATGTTTTTGTACATCAGTATCATACTCAGGCTCACCAGGGGGAGTTCGGGGCCCTCTTCTATCCTCCCTGGGAGGTGTTCGCCGCCTTCTCTGCTCTTCGGGTGGTGTAATCGGGCCCCGTGGGGGCATATCTTCGGGAGATGGACTTCGCGGCGGTGGTTCGTCGACAATGACCTTTCTTCTCTCCACCCGTCCTTCCACGACGTGACGCTGATCCTTGACTGCTGCTCGGCGGCCATGCTCCGGTGTTCCCCCCGGAGATTCCTCTTGTCTGTAACGCTTGTCATAACCCTTTGCTTTAGCCTTGTAGTCCGATTCACCCGGAGGTCTGTTGCCATGAACATCATGCAAAGGTTTCCGAGGGCTTCCATCGGGGAGATCCGTAACCCTTCGCCTCTCCTCACTAGCGTAGCGAAAAGTTGGGGAATCAGCAGTTTCTGGAGAAGACAGAGCTATCCGTCGACGTAACTTCTCCGCAGGTTGCCTCTGTTCTTCGGGACTAAACGCCCTCTTATCCCGCGGGATTTCCTCAGAAGACAGCGGTCTCTGAGATCGCCGTACTGCGACATCCGAAGGGCTCTCATACGCATCTTCACCGCTATTCACCTTAGGTTTGTTCTTCGACTGCTTCTTTTTGACTGCTCGTGATTTTTCCTCAACGACAACTTCAAACTCAGGCTGTTCTCTACTGATATTACTTTTTGACGGTTCAGGCGACAATTCTGTGATTTTTCGTGTCCTTTCCTCGCCAGTGTTAGCTTCCACGCCTTCAGTCGCCGCCTTGACGCCTTTCTTTTTCTTAAGCTCCTTTTCTGCTGGCGACAACTTGCGCTTGGTCTTTACTTTTTTCGCTTCGCCGTCTACCTTCTTTTTCTTTTTCTTTGGTGTTGACTGCGAGGAGACTGTTTGGTTTTTACCTTATCTTTCTTGTGTTTTTTCTCGCTTTTAGGCTGCCTCTCACTTTCAATCTGAGCTTCGGTTTCCGGTACCGTTTCTTGGGTCATGTGACTTTCAACACTTCCTTCACCTTCGGATTTGACGACCTTCCCTTCCTTTTTACCGGCCTTCTTCTTTTTTATTTTGGTAACTGCTTTGATAGGTGTCCCTGTTTCGGGCTTAGTTTGTTTGGTTGGTGTTTCTGTGGTAGGTTGGGCTTCGCCACTCTTGTCTCCTACTTCAGCTGCTTCCGGAACCGCTGTCTCTTCCGTCTCCGGCGTTTCACTTCGTCGTCGTTTCCCTGCTACTGGCGACTCCGTTGTAGACACAGACGATGTATTTTCTCTGGGTCGTTTTCTGTGATTAAAAAGCACATTGTCAACATAATTAACGTATTAAGCGGATATCCGTAAAGAAGCTCCCCTAGTCTCCCACTCAGCCATTTTGTCTCCTCACGCAACGATTTCCCCGTCACGAGACAAAAACGGCTGCGAGGGAGACTACCCCTTTACTGGTTCGACTGAACTGTGGGCTCTGTAACACAACGTGACAATCTAACAGACTTCTAGCACTCGTCGCGTTACCAGAAAATGCCTGCATTGCATCACAGCATGTTTGACTGGGGGATGACTCTTTCGTTACACCACCTTGCCCCAGCAGAATAAAATGCTGGCCCCAGTTGTTCAAAAGTTGGATAGCGTTATTCACCGGATAAGTCACTATCCAACGGAATAAGTGTTAGGGAAACCAATTGCGCTATCCTGTGGTTAGTGATTTATCTGGTGGATAGCGTTATCCATCTTTTGAAAAACTAGGGCCAGGTCTGTTGTTCCCCTTTAAATTTGTTTCACTGCATGTAGCCTTTTTCTAACGGGTACTTTATACGAAAAGGTACTATGTAACAGGGTAAGGTGAGTCGTGCCAACGGAAAGCAAGGGTAATACAAGGGGAGGTGGCTTAGTGAGTTGTCAGCCGTAATACTGTACTTCACATACCTTTCTCCTTGTTTTGGTATTCTTTCTTTGTCATCTCCAATATCTTCTTCATATTCCCACTCGTCCTCTTCATTCTCTGATCTACGTCTGCGATCTTCCTCTACTTCACGCGGTATTTTCTCCTGCTCATGCGCTCGCCGGTCACGTGGGGGGCTACTACCACGTCCTGGGCTCCCTACGAAATTGGCGAGTAAAAGTTAAGTCATAAAAAGTAGGTCTAGGACATTTTCGCTAAAACCCGTAGTAGAATGAGGCTGACTATCGCGTTTTCCAGCCAAAATGACGCTCGTTAACGCGTGCGCACTAGTTAGTATTGAGAAAATCTCGTTCTCGTAGTCGCCCTTGTCTTAAGGTCGGTACACATTAGGCGACACGTTGCAGCAACAAGTCGCGGTGACCAGATCAATCCATGTGTACAGGTCCGGCGACTAGTTGCAGCAACACGTTGCGGCGACACGTCCCAGCGACGAATCACTTCTTGTGTACTGGAGAATTTATGTGAAAATCTTTGTCTCCGCAACAGAATTTTGTCGCTGCAACGAGACGCAAAAAATCAAATCAGACTGAATTTGTGCGACTTGTTGCGGCGACAAAGATTTTCACAAAAATTCTCCAGTACCACGAAGCGATTTGTCGCTGCAACGTGTCGTCGCGACATGTTGCTGCAACTTGTCGCCTAGTGTGTTCCAACCTTTAGAATCTAAGACTCTCTTCTGATTCTCCCTTTAACACCTCTCAGTAAGAAAAAGGCATTTCATTTGAGTGTCAATGTATTTAGCACGAAAGTGCTAATTGGGGACACTATTTTTACGTCTCCTAATGGAGACGGGACCGCCATTTTACGTGGTCATCCGAACCACGCGTAGGGCCCGTCGCTTGCAGTGCAAACGAAGAACCTTCATTTCTCAGCTATTTTAAGACCCTGAGTATTGGTCCGGCCCCGTGAATCGAACCCACGACCTCCCGCTCTGCAGTCAAGCGCTCTACCGACTGCGCTAATCCTGCCGCGCAGTGTTCTTGAATCAGGTTTGTAAATAACAGAAGACGATTTAAACATTTTAAATTGTTTATAAATAACCTAAACTGTTAAAAACCTACCGCCTCTCTTATCTTCCCAGTGTCTCGGTCCACGGCCTGGAGACAGCTCACTTCTCGGACGTCTTTCCCTATCACGTGATTCATCATGTGGTCGGCCCCGGTCACGTGGATGCTCTCTTTCACGGCGACGTTCCGGATCCCACGGTGCTCGGCTGTCGCGAGGAGGTTCTTGGAACCTGTCTCCTGGCGGACGCATTCTGTCGGGAAAGCCTCGGCCCGCTGTTCAAACAAATCACTTACTTTATTAAAGCGAACAAACAAATCGAAGTTCAAAAATACAGAACTTGCACTGTGACTTTAAACTCTTGGAATGATGGTCACACTACATTGCATATACTACGTTTATATCTGCCTTTGAGCAATACAGTATTTCACAGACCTACGGTAAATGATATACGAGCAATTATACAGGCTAAACACTACATGAGTCTGTTAACTGTTCCCTGTTTTTCTGTAAGATCGTCAAGATCGAGCGCTTTGCGTTACGGGTGGCCATCTTGGTTTCAAATGTTCCGCGGGATGAGTGTCAAATTTACTTAAGGGGCGGAGAGGGTTTGGGAGGAGACCTTCCCCCGGCCGCTATAAACACCTACGCCCACCCCCTCGGTACATACAAAACCAACATGGCCGCCTGTACTGGTAAGTGCTCGATCCTGACGATCTTACGAAAAAATAGGGGATTGCGAACAGCCTACACACTACGCTCAACAGCAGAAACCTTTATCTCTTAGGATGACTAAAGTACCACCTGAAAGTTGCTATTAAAACTGTAACAAAAACATCTACGAGACCCTTGCTTTACCTTATTCAGGAGGAAGAGATTTTCTCAAGGGAGCTTAAACAAAGAGGTTTATGACCGACACACGTCAACCGGAAGTGAGGTCTTTTTCGTTTTAAAGCGCCTTGACGCTCCCAAACTTGTCCAAAAAATTTGGGCAAAATCACAGTCAAAAAATGGAAAAAAGACCACTTCCGCTTGATGTGCGTCTTGTGACAGCACATTGACCCGGCCACACCTACCTCTGACTCCCCTCCCACGGGGAGCCCCTCTGCCTCTATCCGCATACTGCCTAGGTGGGGGTGAATTTCGCCTTCGTCCGTCGTCCATTGGTCTACCACGGCTATCAAAAGGCGCTGAATATCCACCTCTTCCACGCATTGGCTCTCGTCCCATACCATAACCACCCTGATCTCTGGGAGGTCCCGGTCGGTAACCTTCATCTCTGCGACCGCCTGGGGATAAACTTCGCCGGCGCTCCATGTAACGATGCGGACCCCGTGGGGGGGCGTGTGGCGGGGGAGATCGTCGCGGGCCATGGGAGATGGGGGAAGTGCGTCTGTGATAGTCAGGTCCGGGAGGAGGATGTCGACCATCTCTGTCACGTGGTCTTTCGCCAGGTCTTTCACGCGCGCGACTGAAAGATAAAGATTTGAAATGAGTATATTAGGGAAAAACTCTATATGGAACGTGCAAAATCTACATCGCTTTAGAGAGTCCATCCTTAGAGTTTTTAAAGACAGAATCTATGTAATCCCACAAAACAAGGGGCTATGTAGCCTGTGAGCAGACACACATACATGCACTATTTACTGGTAGCCATTACGACACTTGAAGGGGAATCATCATGAGGTTGTCCCTATATTAAGATCTTTCTTTCTTACCCAGCCCAGGAAAGGGTTGGTCAATCCACCGGGCTCTACATCGCCTACTCTTTTCGAACAGTGATGTGGGCCTTCAAATAAACGACCACCGAATCCCGAAAAACCTACTGGGGACTCTCAACTTACTTGTCAGGCATATCTTGCCGCGGGATGTCATTTCGCCGTCTATCCCGATCAATAAACTGTCCTTCTTTAGAATCTCTTTCCCCACGTCCTTCCCAGTGCCTGTCATCGCCTTCAAACTGACGCCTGGGAATATCCCGACCACGAGACCTTTGAAGTTCATCTTCGTACTCGTCACGACCTCTGCCTCGTTGATGCTCATCACCGCGCTCGTCTCTTCGTCGATGGCGCTCGTCGTCTTTTTCCAGCTCACGATTCCGTCCACGAAAATGGCCTTCATCTCGTTCTTCCCTTCTACGAAGATAATCGTCATCTCCCTCGGGTTTTCGTCGCTGGAACTCATCACCTCTTGGATCGTCGACCCGATTTCGGTGGTGATCATCGCTTCGTTCTGGTTCAGTTTCCCGTGTTCGATGAAAATCGTCAGCTCGGTCTTCCCTCGGGCGCCCGCGTTGATGGAAGTCTTCCTGACGGTCATCACGATGTCGTGCACGACCGAGCTCTTCATCCTGAACTCGACTTCTAGGGAAGTCTTCCTCTGTCGGAGGATGTCCTCGACCACCTCGAGACAACTCATCAGCTACCTCTTCACCCCTCGCCCTTGAGTACCTTGTGTCACGCTCAGCTCGATCTTTAGGCCTCGGCAAATCTTCGCGATAAGGCACAGACTCGGGCCGTCCCTCGTAAATCTCTTCACGTTTTTTGTCAAATCTTGCCCGCACCGGGGGAGTGGAAGGGTGAGGTGGCGTTTGGGGTCCCCGCCGCCTGGGTGGGGCTCGCTCACTCGTCAAATGTTTTTGTACATCAGTATCATATTCAGGCTCACCAGGGGGAGTTCGTGGCCCTCTTCTATCTTCCCTGGGAGGTGTTCGCCGCCTTCTCTGCTCTTCGGGTGGTGTAATCGGGCCCCGTGGGGGTATATCTTCGGGAGATGGGCTTCGCGGTGGCGGTTCCTCGACAATGACCTTTCTTCTCTCTACCCGTCCTTCTTCGACATGACGCTGATCCTTGACCGCTGCTCGGCGGCCATGCTCCGGTGTTCCCCCCGGAGATTCCTCTTGTCTATAACGCTTGTCATAACCCTTTGATTTAGCCTTGTAGTCCGATTCACCAGGAGGTCTGTTGCCATGAACATCATGCAAAGGTTTCCGAGGGCTTCCATCGGGGAGATCCGTACCCCTTCTCCTCTCCTCACTAGCGTATCGAAACGTTGGGGAATCAGCGGTTTCTGGAGAAGACAGAGCTATCCGTCGACGCAACTTTTCCGCAGGTTGCCTCTGTTCTTCGGGACTAAACGCTCTCTTGTCCCGAGGGATTTCCTCAGAAGACAGCGGTCTCTGGGATCGCCGTACTGCGACATCCGAGGGAGTGTCATACGCATCTTCACCGCTATTCACCTTAGGTTTGTTCTTCAACTGCTTCTTCTTGACTGCTCGTGATTTTTCCTCAACGACAACTTCAAACTCAGGCTGTTCTCTACTGATATTACTTTTTGACGGTTCAGGCGACAATTCTGTGATTTTTCGTGTCCTTTCCTCACCAGTGTTAGCTTCCACGCCTTCAGCCGCCGCCTTGACGCCTTTCTTTTTCTTAAGCTCCTTTTCTGCTGGCGACAACTTGCGCTTGGTCTTTACTTTTTTCGCTTCGCCGTCTACCTTCTTTTTCTTTTTCTTTGGTGTTGACTGCGAGGAGACTGGCGAGAACTCGTCCCCAGGTGACACGGACGACTTCTCGGGGTGGAGCTTGCTATGCACGACGGGAACGACAGGTTTAGCTTCTTCCTCTCTGTCTTTTTTTGGCTCTCTGATTTTCCTCTCAGCTTTTTCCCTCGCAGCTTCTTCTTCATCCATAAGCGCTAACTGTCGCTGAAGATCTTGTCTTCTCTTTTCTAAATTCAGCTGCCTCTCAAAGTCTAGCTCTCCTCTCTCTTCCCAGTCTAAAGTCTCATTTCTCTCCTCTTCAGAATCGTCGTCTCCCCAGTTTTTCTGTTCTTGCTCTGGGCTGTGGGACTTCGTAACGACAACACTCCCACTCAGATGTCGCTTCTTTACTTTTTTCCTGCGTTTTTTACGTTCGTCTTCATTGTCCTCTTCGCCTGATTAAAGAAAACGACATTACATTAGATCAAAGCCTTTAGAGCGGTTTTCATTTGAGTGTCGAAAAGTAATTGGTTTTGCACTTTCTACACGATGCGATTGGCTTAAAAGATTCGCGCCACCTTTTCATCCAATCAGAAGTAAAACCAAAGCCAATTGTGACGCGCTCGCATGCATTTTCCCGCGCTTTGCGTCAGCCACATGTAATTACTTCGAGTTTTGATTGGTTCAATGTATTGTCTGTGTCCTATGTGATTGGCCAGAGTAATTACTTTGGTTTTGGTTTTACGACACTCAAACGAAAACCACTTTAACCAGTTAAGCTAGCTAAGATTAGGAGCACGGGTCAAGTTCTGAAAGAAAGAAAAAATGCCTCGCCCCTGGCATTATAACCACAGAGAGGGGGAGGCGAAGTCTTCTATTTCCACAGTGAAAACTCGCAGGTTCAAAAACTAAAGTAAAAATCGACCATTTTAGGGGAAGGAGGAAAAAATTTGGACCTCGCACTACAATGAAGCAACTCTGGAAGACACAAATGGCTTATTAAATTAACTTTCAAAACAGAGAGCAGCTGCAAGGAAATTCTGTATAGAGATTTACAATGCACCTTCTGAAGATTGTTTCTCAACATGCTGTCTTCGCTTTAGCTTTTCACTTTTCTTGCCAGGGTCCGCTGATTCTTCGAGTGGCCTGCTTTTCTTCCTTTTGATTGGAATCTCCTCCTCGTCCTCAGGCTCTAAGCTGTCCAAACTCCGAGTCCGACCGCCCAGACCTCCTTCATCTGAAAATCATAACATGCACCTATATTTTAACCCTTCCACTCCCAAAAGTGCCTTAAGTTAGAATTTAACAAAATTTCCAAATTTCAGTTTGTCAAATGCTAAAACACAAGTAGTACCATGTGAAAGCAACACCAAAGAGGATTCATTTAAATCGTCACATCATAGGATTTCATACACAGACTTAAAAGTCTGACCCACCAAAAGATGCACTGAATAGAAGGAAGAACATTTGTATAAATGCAGTTGTGTGTTTGGGTTAAAGTGAACAGATAACTGTGACTGCACATGCCCGTGACTGGTTCTACCATACCCATTGATTCCCATGTGAATTTTACAACTTACTACTGGGTGAAATTGAATAATTTTGTGTAACTTACCTCGTTCCTCTGATCTGTGTGGGCCACCAAAATAAATACATGTAACATAAAAAAAACAGTCAAAAGAAAAGTTAATCAAACAGTATTCGATTTTTTCTTTTAACTAGGAGATTTGTCACTAAACAATGGGCCAGTTATTAATAAAATTGAGCATAACCAGTCTGCATATATTTCATGGAAAGCATGCCCATATCAATAGTATATTTACAACTACACTTCTTTGGGACTGTCATTAACACTAGTTAATAATATTATTGATAATTTTTCTCATGCTTTATCTCTGTGATTTCTGTTGCCATTGATAAATAATATTTTTGAAACAGTTATTATACATGTATTTTCTAAGCCACTTTTAGTTTGCCCAACAAGCTCTGTTTAATTCAAAGCATATAGCAAACACAAGAAAGCATTTATCTTAATAACTAATTTAGAAACAGATCTGGAGGTCTAACTGATGATTTTTAACTATGTCCTAAGTTAATCAGACTTCATTAAAATAACCCACCCAAGAAAGAATGTTTCAAGAGAGAACATCAAGGGTCCATTACATTAGAATACAAATTCTTAGAGCAAAACAGCTTATTTCATGTAGGAAATTCATTCTACTTACATTAACTACATTATTCATGCCTGCTTATTAGCTCCAAGGAGGAGGTTAAGAGGTTTTATATTTATCATTTTTTTCATGTATAGAAAAATAAATGTAAGGGATCCTTAACAATATTAATCCTTTTACTCCTAATAAAGGCCACTGTAAAAGTTTAAAAAAAATTCAAATTTGTTTTTGTAAAATCCTAAGAAATCAATAGCATTGTGCAAAAGTACTGTGGAAGGTGATTAATTATTAATTAATGGTAACACCATAGGATTTTGATTTTGTCCTCAAATTTGAAAGTTCTAGTGAGAAATCATCCAGTCATAACTTGGCCTAGGATGAAGGCATTAAAAAAGGATTTATTGTATGTCCCTTGGTTCTTTCACACTTAAAAGTCAAAGGCTTTATTTAACGAACACATTTGCAGTTGTTTTATACCCACCTGTCAACATCACTTCTCACAACACTTCTTAGACTTTTTGTTCTCTGCTTAGGTTCACTAAATGGCCCATGAAGAAATTTGCAGCTTCTTCCAAACTGACATCTACCATCTCGCAGCCAGTTTCTGCATTTCTCAGGAGGATATGGTTCTCTGGGTCTTGAACGCTGAAATCAGAACCATTTGTTTCATGAATGCATAAATACACTTATTCAGAGTAGGTTTTGGCATGGAGATAATCTGGTTTGCATACAAGCTATAAGAAGAAAATCAAATATATACTTATGGCACTATTCTGGCATTTACAGTATTCTGGACCAGGCAGAATTCTTGAATAGACAGATATACTTAAAGTGCACACAGAGTCTGAGTAAAGAAGCTTTCTAGATTCATTTATGAACCAACTTGCCTGTCACTTTGGTTAACTCATCTGCAACTGCAGGTAATGATGCTACACATATGGCGAAAATCATGTATTTATTACTCTTAAAGAATGTCACTAGAAAAAAAAATCAGGTAATCTAGCTTGTTGTATTTTTGCTGTTATCATGATCCGATGAAAGGACTAGGCAATATAATTGATAACATTGACGCATTTACCTATGAGGAAAATCTTGGCATTCCCCATTAATAATAATGATGTGTCATTTGCAAATCTGCCATAATACATCTTGTTTGCTCCCTCCCCCGTACCCAGAGTTTTGCATAAATGTTATTTTTGGGTTTACCTCGCCATAAGAACCTGTGAACTTTTTCCTTGTTTTGCACCTTTTGTTTTTCTAAGTTCTGTTGTGCTGACTTATTTGTTTCCTTTGTTTTACGTCACCTGTGAGTTTAACAGGTTCCTGCACCGAGGACGAGCCTTTTTTTCAGTTTCTCCTAGGTATTAAANTAGGCAATATAATTGATAACATTGACGCATTTACCTATGAGGAAAATCTTGGCATTCCCCATTAATAATAATGATGTGTCATTTGCAAATCTGCCATAATACATCTTGTTTGCTCCCTCCCCCGTACCCAGAGTTTTGCATAAATGTTATTTTTGGGTTTACCTCGCCATAAGAACCTGTGAACTTTTTCCTTGTTTTGCACCTTTTGTTTTTCTAAGTTCTGTTGTGCTGACTTATTTGTTTCCTTTGTTTTACGTCACCTGTGAGTTTAACAGGTTCCTGCACCGAGGACGAGCCTTTTTTTCAGTTTCTCCTAGGTATTAAACGGACAGTCTTCTCAAGTCTCTCAGTTTTGATGACAATCTCCTGGTCTCACAATGAGGCACAAAAGTCCCTTGGTAAACAGATTCACAAGCCAATGGAATACACTTTCCTTGAATATTTTCATCTTTGCCTTGTAAAAATTATTTTCAGGCAAAAATTCTGTAGAAATCCACAGTTCTAAGGCTATATGTTGATAGTCTTGTCAATAAGATACAGACCTCAAAACCATATTTAGAAGACAAATGGCAAATAAGGTTATTGTTACCAGTTTGTTGCATTAAGATACGTTTCCTCTTGTCAAATGGTGGAAAACCATGAATATTCATTGAGCGAAGACAAAGTTCAAAATAGAATGAGAAGGTTCATATCCTGTTAAACGTATTCTTAGTGATCAATTTTTCGTTTTTATCTGTTCCCTACACCTGGTTTTTTACCCCAGATCTCCAGGTTTTTGGTCTTTTGGAGTTGAGAGGTCTGCAGTCAGCTAAGGGACCATGCTGACATGGACACCGGCTTGGCCAGTTCAGAAAGCGTTTATATTAACCTGAAATCAAATGTACGCATCCAATACATCTGGAAATCCGCTTCAATCTTGAATAGTGTTTCATTCCATCTACAATCTTTTACTGAAAACCTCTTTTTGAGCCAACTCTGATTCATAACTGAGGTTAAAAATTACATCTGTGGTGCAGGCGGAGAGAAGCAAGAGTTGCGCTAGCTACTTGAATGTATGTCGCTGGCTACTCTACATCCCCCTAGCTTCAGGGGCCTTACAGCCCCTTTGATTGTCACATTCGCCTGCTTTTCCAGGGTTGGCCGCCTACTTCAAAACATTTTGAAATCCCAGGTGGAGATTTATCCGGTGGATAGCGCTATCCAGCCTTTGAACAACTGAGACCACTGAGGTCCTTGAAAGAATTGTTCCCTTTTTTTAATTTTTTGCCGGATAAGATCAGAACCAACTATCGATCAGCCGCGAACCCTGAAGACTGAAAAACTCTTATAAACAGCCAGGCTTTCTATTAATCATTCCTAATACTTACTTCGCTCGTTCCAGGGCCGAGTCTGTCAAACACGCTTCTCCTTGTCCCGGAACCCGAACTTGAACTTTGACCACCACTTTCAGGTAGCTTTTTGCTACCTTCCACCGTCACCTTGCGTGTTAAACGTGTTCCAGACATATAGAACTCCCAATAGTCTTTTAACGCGTTCAATCAAGCAGCATTATACATTCTATTCAGTCAATTTTAGTCGCCGTGAAGTCGCCATCTTTGACAATTTGTAGCCTCGCAATTTAGGAGCCCGCATGAAAGTACCAGCGGATAGGTTTCTACTTTATGCGCAGAACAGTACACGTGCGCAAAAAGTTCAATATGGCTCCCAGTTGAGTAGTGGAAAGGAGAACACGAAAAACAAGTCTATAATTCAGTTTCTTTGGCTTAATTTATTATGAGTACACAGGAGACAGGTGGTGGCTTAACCAAATGGCAAATCGCAGCCTTAATTGGGGTGCCTGTTGCCGTTGGTTGTGTGTTAGGCGCGTTTTATTATTGGAAGACCTCAGAAAGCGCAGTGGAGGATCAAGAAGATACAGAAAATGACGCAACTAGCAAACAGAGTGATGCGTCTGCCAACGAAGCTCCTGACAGCGAAGATGTTTCTGAGCAGGAACAGGTACATTGAATTGAAGTTGTCAAATTATCCTTTAAACTAGAAAAGTGACCAGTGATTTACGTTACTAGCGCAAGCCTGACACCTCCTTCTCTCTTGTAGCCTCTTGTATCCCCACTCATCGATCGTCTTGATCAGCCCCGTACGTGAGATATGAGGATGAAAATTCTCCTTAGTTGTCGGCTCTTATTTCTTTTGATCGTATTTTGAATAAAAGGCTTAAGTACAGAATAGGTGGTTTTCATGCAATTTCGAGAGACACAAATAACAATGGTGAAATGAACAAATGCTGGTGGACAAACAAAGCGAGCTAATGAGCGATCTTTTGTTTACCGTCCACCAGCATGGCAGCGATGACGTAACGTGAAAACAACCTATACAGGGCAAATATACTTTGTTGGGCTCGGTAGTCTCGACTTGATGAGCCACCGAACTGTTGAGCCATTAAACACAGAGCCACTTCTGCAGGGCTGTCAACCCCCCACGTCTTAAAATATTGAGAATTGATAGGGAAGGGATGATAGATGAAGTCATAACATTCAACATTCCTTGACTCCGGTCATCACGAATTTGTGATGACACAAAATGCGCAAAAAAGATGTTGTTGGCATTGTAACATTTGACCTGATTGGTTTACTTCCCACCAATCACATTATTGCTTATATTACAATGGCATACCGGAGGTTTTTGAGAAAAAGTTTGATGTTAACAGCTAAAACAACGCAAAGTATTTGAAATATTTTGTTGTTGGAAAGTCAAGTTTACAAGAAATGGCAATCTTCGGTGATTATCCTTGAGATTTCAGACTCTAATCTTGAGTCCGGGAGATATGGTCCAAAATCTGGAGTCTTCCAGATTATCTGGGAGAGTTGACAGCCCTGCTTCTGTTTGAGACCTTGAAATATGGCCGTGAATTCTGTAGTTGCTGCGAGCCCTTTTGGTAAATACAAGTATAAAATGAGAAAAGTGGCAATCAGTTCATTGCTCTCATCCGCCGCTGATCTACCTCTGATATGTAGCTGCCCAGTGTATCAACTGTGATACTGTACCTCCAACACATAAGAACAATAATATGCTCCCACCAACAAAATCATCATGATCTTACACCAATATACATGTACCTGCAAAGTTGACCTTCTGTCAACTCCACAGGCATGCTGGCATTTAATACTGTGATGGCCTCAGTTGGCAATGACTTTTGTTCTGATGTCGGTATGGTATCTCAAACATTACTGCTGGCTATGTTGCAGGTAGATCAGCAGCATTTGAGAACCATGCTTAAGAATATTGATGTCAGACTGAATGTTTAAATAATTAATTGCCTTTTGCTTATTGCTTGTAAGAGTTGATTGTATGTATGATAATTCAAAATTTGAATAAAAGACACCCTCTTTTTTGAACACAAACTTGGTGGCTACTTTAATATTACTAAAACCCCTGCTAGTATTATTTATATTTTACTTAAAGAATTTTGACTTTTTTTGGCTTTTTCCACTATTAAGTGTGAAAGGGTTAATATGAGTATATTTGTTGGTATTTTTCATCTTGTATACAGCTGTCCCCTGCAGAGCAAGCTCAAGCAGTTAAACTAAAAGGCAACAAGTATTTCAAGGGTCAAAAATATGATCAAGCCATTAAATGCTACACAGAAGCCATTAGCCTCTGTCCAGAAGAAAACAAGACTGATCTTGCAATGTATTACCAAAACAGAGCAGCAGCTTATGAACAACAGGTAAACATTTTTGCTGAATAAGCTGACATCAAATTTTAGGGTATCATTTTAGGTAAATCACTTGTGGACAATCATGCAACGTAAATCAAAGTCAGCTAGTAAGGCAAGTAGTACAAGTACCATTTGTTTACAAATTATGAAAAAGGCAACATTTTGCAAGGGTCATCATTATGTTTTAATATAATAACAAAATAATAGAGAGTGATAAAGATTTGAATATTTGAAAGCTGCTGGCCTTTCTTTTTAAAACTGAAAAGTGGATAATCTGTTGATAGCTCTGTTTGTAATGGTATACTGACTTAAATAATCTGTTTTTATTGTAGAAAAACTATGAGCAAGTCCTTGCAGATGCCAGTAAAGGTTAGCTAAGTGCCAGCCTTAACTTCATAGAAGACAAATGGGGTACTTTTGGAAAGTCTTGATTTCAAACCATGTTGTATTATCTGACCAACATTTTTTATTTGTTGTGTATTGTTACATTGATTGAATACTGAAGCTGCCATAATTTTATACATATATGTACAAAGCACTGTCGGTCCTTGCCACAATCAGAGCAGGATGTTAAGCCTGTGGTATTATCCTTGTTTTCTCAGCCATAGAATTCAATACAAAGTATTCCAAAGCCTTCATGAGGAGAGCTCGGGCCTATGAACAGCTAAACAGAAAGGAGGAGTGTTTGCAAGGTAAAACAATGAGCTTTGACTGTGCCCATCATGTATAAAGGAAGAGTAAATTCTTCAAAACAAAATATTCTGCTCAAAATATTGAGTCTGTGTGGGTGTCCTGAAGCATGCAACATGACTGCAACTATGCCTGTATGTTTTCCGGTTCAAATTTCGTTTAGGTCATTTGGATGCCTTTTTGCCTGGAAAAAAGTTATGATTTCCTGCTTGAGCCCAAGGATTGACCTAATGCTAAGGAAGTGTTCTTGGTGTCATCATTTCTGGAATCGCTTTAAATGAGGCTTTAGAATATTAGTCGTTTTCAACTTTGCCTGTGTGGTTGTTTAGTACATGTATAAATTTTGTTGAGGTCATTTGGATGCCTTTTTGCATGGAAAATATTCATGATTTACTGCCTGAGCTATGACTTGCAATGATTGACTGAATCAGAATGCTAAGGAAGTGTGCCTGATGACATCACTCCTGGAATTTCCTGTATTGAAGCTTTAGCAGTTTATCATGTTTGTTGTTATCAGTTGTTGTGGTTACAGATCATCTTAAGTCACTGCATCTCCTCNNNNGTCCTTGCCACAATCAGAGCAGGATGTTAAGCCTGTGGTATTATCCTTGTTTTCTCAGCCATAGAATTCAATACAAAGTATTCCAAAGCCTTCATGAGGAGAGCTCGGGCCTATGAACAGCTAAACAGAAAGGAGGAGTGTTTGCAAGGTAAAACAATGAGCTTTGACTGTGCCCATCATGTATAAAGGAAGAGTAAATTCTTCAAAACAAAATATTCTGCTCAAAATATTGAGTCTGTGTGGGTGTCCTGAAGCATGCAACATGACTGCAACTATGCCTGTATGTTTTCCGGTTCAAATTTCGTTTAGGTCATTTGGATGCCTTTTTGCCTGGAAAAAAGTTATGATTTCCTGCTTGAGCCCAAGGATTGACCTAATGCTAAGGAAGTGTTCTTGGTGTCATCATTTCTGGAATCGCTTGCAATGAGGCTTTAGAATATAATAGTCCTTTTCAACTTTGCCTGTGTGGTTGTTTAGTACATGTATAAATTTTGTTGAGGTCATTTGGATGCCTTTTTGCATGGAAAATATTCATGATTTACTGCCTGAGCTATGACTTGCAATGATTGACTGAATCAGAATGCTAAGGAAGTGTGCCTGATGACATCATTCCTGGAATTTCCTGTATTGAAGCTTTAGCAGTTTATCATGTTTGTTGTTATCAGTTGTTGTGGTTACAGATCATCTTAAGTCACTGCATCTCCTCCATTTCCATCAACAGATCTCACGGCTGTGTGTATGATTGAAGGTTTTAATAACCCTAACTGGATGATGCAAGCAGATAGGGTATTGAAGGAAATAGGGAAAGAAAAAGCTCAGGAATACTGTAAGGTATAAGCTACATTACATGTGCGTAGTATTAGTAAAGCAATTTATGTATCGTTGAGTACAATTTTTCCTTGCAAAACAGAATAATGCAAGTGTGAAATTAAAAATAGCCTACTTTTGTTTGTGAAATGAAATCTTGAGTGTACTGTTTGTAGTGTTGAGTCAATAATTTGTTGTTTACCAAGTCTTGTTATGAGTGATTTTTTTATTTTGTTAGTGTCAAAAATAATGCAAGCAGTGCAGTAACGATTATGATTCTAAAGTAAATGTTGGCATTTTAAAGAGGCGCAGATCAACACCATTTTATGGAAATCGGCCAGATTTTTCATAACAAATATATTTTTAATAATAAAAAACTTTCTAAGCTGAAATCTTGCTCCATTTCCAATACAACAAGGAAATTAACCTTCTTGTAGTAATTCACCTATTTGCAAGGCTTCATCCAAGGAGAATGGAATGGGCCAATATCCTGTGTGAATGACTCAGAAGCCCAGGAAAAGGGACTTTAGAGAGTTAAAATCCATAGAATTTCCTGGTGGAGAATACCCCAGACCTCCCCCTAGAAGGTGCACCTTTGGCCATCCTTTAGGAAATTGGTCAGTTTTATTTATCCTAGATCTGCGCCTGCTGAACATGTCTACTTTCTGCCCTAGTGATTTTCGAATGACCTGGCGGCTACCAATTTTTGTAAAATTGAGCTTTCTTTGTTAAAGTTTCGCTCATTTACTTAATCTTTGCAGAGAAGGAGGACGGCTCTACCTTCACCAACTTACATCAAAGCTTATTTAGAATCTTTTCGTCATGGTAAGTTTT